AATGCAACATCTTCTAATTAAAATTGAAAAGCATAGAATCATAGGATGGTTTGGGTTGGAAGGGACCATAAAGACCATCCAGTTGCAACCCCCTGCCATGGGCAGTAGCACCTTCCACTAGGCCAGATTGCTCAAAGCCCCACACAACCTGGCCTTGAACACTTGCAGGGATGGGGTATCCAGTGCTTCCCTGGATGGCTGTTCCAGTGCCACACCACCCTCACAGTAAGGAATATGATCCTAATATCTAATCTAAACCTACCTTTCAAGATCCCATTACTCTAAGCATGCTGGCTCCTGGCTCTTGTGAGACTGCTGTATTTACAGTCCCATTGTTTCCTGCTGGCCTTGGCTTTAATTGTTGTTGTTGTTGTTGTTGTGCTACGTACATTCTGCAGGTCTATTGATTTTAATGAGGACTGGTTTCATTTTTTTAGGATGCCAGAAACTTATGGCAGGCATTAGAACACCCTGGAATGTTAAACCTAATTTAAATTTAACTGAAATCATCAGAATAAATGAATAATTGAACAAGGTATGTTTTGTAAAACACCTGGGGGATTTTCTTTCCCTGCTTTTCTACTCACTAATTTGCAGATAGCACTTATCTGCATTGAGACTCTGGAGTGTCATTATTCTGCTGGAGGTACTACTGGTGGATAACTGGGAATAGTCATTCTTCTTTCTCCTGTTTCCCAAAAGCCCCAGTCATCTTCATTTATAAAATAGGAATGGCAGTGGTGATTTTCTTTCATAAAAGTTCTGATGAAGAGTAAGGCACTCATATATTGAGTAAAGGCACTAAAGACAAGGTAAAAAAGTTGACACTACTTTGCTTTTTGTTGCAGTGCAAAACATACAGGTGTTATGGACTTCAACCTGTTTTTTTCTGTGCTGGAAACTGATCTCTGTTTCAGGAAGAGGAGGAGGATGATAAAGACTTTGTTCCTGCCAGTGATTTCATTTGATTTTCAGCTCTGCCTATTACTCCTCAGTTTACCTCTTCAATAAATCCAACCTACCTCTTCAATGGATTTTAACTACAGGGTTCTGTCTGAAAAATTTACAGAACACTTTTTTGCAGACTGATATATAGTTTGATATTATTTTCTTGCCTAATATTTTTTTCTTTCCATAAATAGATCCAACTCTTCTTCCTATTTTATCCTTTTTCTGTTATGAAGAACAAAATGATTTCTGTCCCCTATAGTTTCAGGTGAAACTTGTGAAAGAACCACATAAGTAGGTGAAATAACTGAATGTGAAAAGTACACTGGCTGTTGGCAATGAGAAATGTGGTGCAGAAGAAAAAGGTTAAAAAAAAAAAAAAAAAGGAGGAATTTTTGGGCAGTCTCACAGGAGATATTGCAACAGTATTTTCACATGACCCAATAGGTGTGTGACAGTACTGTGGTAACTTAAGGAAGTGAATTTCTTTGTGTATCTTTGCCTTAATCCTCTAAATGTATTTTTAATCCCTGTCAAACACTAGTGTACCTATTTCCCTTAATAGCTACAGAGTTTAGTCTTTTTGGACACAAAAAAAATAAAATCCTGTGTTTTCTTAATTACCATAGTTACATGGTAATTTTTAAATCCTTTTTATGTACCTTGTACATGGATAACGCATGCTGAATCAGAGAACTTGTTGGATGTTTATAGTTACCTCTCAAGCAGTACGAAATTCTGAGTGTTTTAATTATCACAATATGTTGATTGTAATAAGTGGCATTCACTATGTTGTTTCAGTCTGTGCTGAAAGCATTCATAACACAATACACTGTTACTGCCAAATAGGGAATTTGAAGGTTTAATTTAATTTAAGTGTAATGTGGCATCTCCCCAGGTTGCCTCCCAGGTACTGATTTTGAAAAATCCATTTAGACCTAGAGATGATATGACAGCCTTTTCTTTGAAGAGCTCTTCAGGTTTCTGTAAAGAAAGCCTTAGATTTATTCATTGCTTTTACAAGAATTCTAAATTATGTCTGTCCAAAAAGGCTGAAATCCTTAGGCAGAAACATTGTTGGAGTGAATTATGACAGGAAGGCTGGAGCAGCATCTTGTGAAGGATGGGGACACTCAGAGCAGTGATGGCACCTTATTGACAAACATTTATTTTCTCTGTGAGCTACAAAGCCTGGAGTGGTGGGCAGCCTCTCTGCTGCTGAAGATGCTAAGCTGGAAACCCTGATTCATTTGGAACTGTCTCTAAGACCTGCTTGAAGGGAGGAAATGATCCTTTTCTTTAAGCATTTTACATTATTGTTTTTAAAAAACCCTGACCGATTAAAAGAAAAAAAAAGGGGGAAAGTGTTTTTGGATGTTTCATTTTCTCCAAAACTGTGCATTTTCAGTATATAGTCAAAGGATTACTCTGAGGAGACTTGAATGTGGAAGTGTTTCTGGGTTTATTTTTCTTCAACGTACAGCAACTTTTGCTAGAACAATTCATAATGCTGAATTTCTTGATAATTTTGACCTCCTCAGAAATCAACTATATTAAAAATCTTTCTGTATGTACTCAACTCAGTTATTTCGTGTGGCTTTGTAATTGCATGTATTTCTTTGCTTTCTAAGATACAGTGTTTGCTTAAAAGTTCCAAGGATACACATGTGTTTTAAATTTTCTTTATGTTTTAGAAAATAAGCTAGGATTGCACTACTTTGTCAATGAAGCTGTATTCCCTGCAGGATTTGCAGTATCAGCTGTGTTTGTATAATATCACAATTTAACCTTTTCCTACCACATAGGTTTTTTTCTCTTGTCAGAAAGAACCAGAAAAGACTGATGTTTTGTTACATTAATATACAGGCAGGGCTGCACAGTATAGTATAAAAAATGGGCATACTAAAACAGGTGAATATAAGCAAATATATTTAGTAGTTGTCATAATCTATGTAAGTGCCATTCTAAATTTTTGAAATTAGGTTGCTGTGCTGTAGTAACTACGAACATCACTGCTCAGCACCCAGGCTTTGGTAGCTTGGCATTTAGATTTGCAGATTCTAAAGTTCCCTGGTTTGTTTTCCACAGAAATGAAATACATTGTTTATTTATGGATAAACAGTAGGCTTCTATTTGAAAATATATAACCTGTGAATGCAATAAACAACCAGAAGGATTGATGGGGGCAAAAGGTGCCTGTTTGTATGGATTAGGTAGTAGAAATCTACATGCTTTTATGTGATTTCTTATTCTTTGCTTTTTTCTGACTGTATAGACAGTATGTTATACCTGCTGACAACTGGCAATTTCTGACTTCCCAGTAGAATTGGATTTTAAGAAGATTTAGACGCTTGGAGTTAAATGTGGCTCCCTGAAACCTTGTCTGGTGAAAGTAAATAGGAGTTTCATAGTAGGTGTCAGCAGGCCAACACTTGACATTTGTTCTTTTCCTACCCTTATGCAGAAAAAAACCCATATATTGGGAAATCAGAGACTGGATCATTTTGGTGGTTGAAACAGTGCAGTGCTATGTGAGTTTTGACAGGCAGTTAGCAATTTAATTTAGAGTGCCTTAAGAAGTGAGGACAAGTTTATGTTGGCATTTTGATGTCTATCGTTCATGAATCTTCCCTCCCTAAGAATCTCAGCCTTGCTGGGACAGGAGCTGAGCCTGGATGAGTCACTGCAGTCGCTAAGGGGTGGGCACAGGCTGAGCCTGGCTCAAAACCACATGTAGGTACTGGCTCCTCAGCCCCCAGCAGGGTTCCTCTGGAGACCCTGTCCTGCCAACACCAGCTGGTTGTGTAGGCATTGCCTCAAATGGCTGCACTGGGGAAGAGGAGCTGAGGAAGGGGCTGGGAGAATCTAAATGCCTTGTGGGTGAGGGGTAATACCCAGCATAGTCAGGGTCAGTTATGGGTGGTAGTGTCTTAAATGGCATCTCAGCCCATCATGGGTCATTGGTTTGAAGTAAAAAGTGGAATGTGCTTGAAATAGAGGAATGGGAACCACTAACATTCCTGAGGCTAGCACATCTGGGCATTAAGACAGCAAGGGGACATTCAGGAAGCCACAGATTGACCAGGGACAGAAAAAACAAGCTTTGACATTCTTGATGATTATTGCTGTGTGATAGCCTGTCAACTGCAAGGTGTTTGAGAGCTTGAATATTCAGTACTTCAGTCTGCATAAATTAATACAAGCTGAAAAGTGCTTCTACATCATCAACAAAAGTACTCATGTTTCCTTGGGCATTTATTTAGCTCTCACTGAGAACATGGACACAAAGTCTGTATTCATTTGATTGGTGTGAAAAATGGTAGGCTTCCTTTCTCCTTCATTTTCATTTTGCTCAGTTCAATTTTTTATGAGTTATTATTTGTGTGGAAAGATTGATTCCATTTAGAAGGAAGTAGAACATTCGGTCAAATGCTCCTGTTGGGTGCAGATTCACATCCCTGCAGTGTGGTGCTGAGGCTTTTCAAAGCAATCATTTTCTGGTTAAGACAAAAGTAATGCCATAGAGAGAGCTTTGTGCACGTCAGTGGCACTGAAATAATAGTGCAAAACCTAAAACCAAGAGGATGCAAGTGTCACTTCCAACATGTTGGATGCCATAGATTAGTTGTGTATGACCTTTAAAAGGACTGAAAATCTATTTGATTTTTGAGCTGTCTTTCCCTAGACAATATATAGACTGCTAAAATCCCAAAAAGAGCATAAAGCAATGGATGGAAATGACAGGCAGATTAATTTAAATTAAAAATGCAAACCCCATTTCTAGCAGAATATGATTGACCATTGAAAATATAAACAGCCAAGAGAATGGCACTTCATCTCTTGATGTCCTCCAGTCAAAACTTTAGTCAGGTACAAGTTAAGCCTTGGTTATGCCTGATTTCCCAGGGTGATTGTGTGTCAGTCTTCAACTACATTATGCAGGAGGTCACACCTAATATTTGTTAAGATCTTTTTCAAATTAAATCAAAAACTATAATATGAGCCAAATTGAAATAAATGGTGTTCTTATTTGTCTCTCTCTCCCTTCACAGGTACTACAGTGCTACCATTTTGCAGATGTCAGGAGTGGAAGATGACAGGCTTGCAATCTGGCTGGCTGCACTGACAGCATTTATAAACTTCATTTTTACTCTTGTGGGAGTCTGGCTTGTTGAAAGAATGGGTCGCCGGAAACTTACGCTTGGTAGCTTAACAGGTGAATGTTTCATTAGTGTATTATATTTTCCTCATAATTATTGATGAAAAGAAAATAAAATTTCAAATGCATTTATTTTCAAAGTAGTCCTCTTCAAAATTTCATTGTTGATGCCATCTTTTCTCTGAAATAATACAGGTTTCAAGACTATTAGTAAAACACCACAGCTAGAAGCTAATTTAAAAGTGACTGCCTGTTATTTTTTTAGGTGACTTTCTCCTTGAAGCCATGTTTGACAATGTTTTCATTTACCTTTTTTTTTTCCAATTTAAGGAATAAAATGCCTGGAACTTCACAGGTGGTTAGTTTTTAAGTCTCATATGTAATTTTAATTGGCTTATTAACTGGAATTCAGAACCATCTGATGAAGGTGTACCAGAGAAAGAATATTGCATAACCATTGCAGTACTTTGTAAATATAATGCAGTTCTCTGCATAGTTACCTCAGATACAGTACAGTAAATACCTTACATACATTCATGTGATTTAATTGTCCTCCTATATGAGATAAGCAAAGACAGAATTCTGGTTTTATACATTTTGTCCAAATATCCAAACACCATAGCTCATCACATAGTCTTTTCTTGAAAGCTGGGAAAAGCAGAACAAGCAGCCTTCCTATGTTCAGTATGTTCTGTTATTAGGATGGTAATTCCCTGCTTGTTCCTGCCTTATATGTTCGTTTTGCTGAAGTGATCTGTGACCAAAACTTATCTCTGGGTGAATGTTTGGAAGGTTCAGATGTTTTCAACAAACTGTTCCTGCTCCTTTTGAAATAGTGTTCACGAGTGTTTTGCTGTAAAGATTTAATATCTTCGTATTTTGTTCTTCTGCTGCTGTCAAGGATCTAAATTTGTACTTAGTGCAACACAGCAGAGAGGTACACCAGCTGCCATGTCACTGGATGTGCAAGTCCCAGCTCTCAGCTGAGTTAATCTACACCCGAGTATTTGAATGTGCTTATATAGGCAGAGCAGCAACAACACAGTGACATGAGTTGTTTGGTACACAGTTACTCAAAGCATGTTTCTCAAATTTTAAAGATATGAAGGAAAATCTCAAATTACTACTTTTAGTCTGTTCCAGTTCAGTTACAATACATCCCCTGTATGTCCTTCTGTGCCTCCAGACAGTCTGGTGACTTGTCTTTCTATGGTGTGGATCTGTCCAGGCCCTACACTGACTCTTCTGGTCCTTGGGTGCTGCCTTTCCTTTAATGCCTACTGAAACAGAGGATTGATTGATTGATTGATTGATTGATTGATTATTTGGCCCAAATAATCTCATATGTTTGGCCAGCCCCCTTGAAGAGTTTATTGCTTATCTGGACCCAGCTGTATAGTTGTGATAACCAACATGGACTTCTCATATTACCAGAGCTCTTTGCTTTTTGGCTCTGCTTAACATATTAAAAGGCTGCACATCTAAATGTAGATATAAATGTCTCTTACAAAGCATGCTATCATGGATCAGAGGAGGATATAGCAATAGGACACAGAATTAACAGTGGAGCATAACGCATTAAAGAGTTATTTGTTAATGATGTTTGGACACAAAGTAATTGCTTAGTAAAAAATACTAAAATACTTTTTTTTGTGGTTTGCTGGCTGTCTGTCTGCCGTGTCATGAGCCAAGATATAATGCTTGCTGTGATTTTATCCTACAGTCCTTTCATAAGGATAATACAAATAATGGCAGTCATGAAATCGTGCATCATCCCTCTGTACTAGTTAGAATTTTGTCATGCAACATTTGATTTAGGTACTGGTGGATATGAGGTGTTTTCCTTAGCAAAAGAGCTGTGTAATAGAATGGTAAGTACTAAATCTACCAATGGATTTGTTTTCCATGTTGAGTTTTCTCACGGCGTAGACATATCTTACTGCTCTACATTGGTTTACATTTCTAAGGACATTACAATTTACACTGAGTTATTACTGGCAACTTCTCTGGTCTTTGGGGGAACCAGGTATGCCCCAGTCTCCCACTGCATAAAATGAAGACAAAACTACTGCTTTTGCCTGCTGCTGCAAGAATGTGGGGCTTTGCTTTTTTTATAAAGGCTAATTGATTAGACGTTTATTAGATAAAACCTACAAGAATAATCAGTAGATAGTAACATTAATATTTTGATTAAAAGCCAATATACTGTAAATTAATTTTGTAATCTCGTGCAACTTTTCCTGCTTTCTGAAAACATTTGGCAGAGATATTTTAGATTTCATTCATTGTCTTTATCATTCTCAAAATATTATAAACTTTTGAAAAATTGAACCTTCCAGATAGCATTATGAAAAATGATAGTAAATTTCTGAAAAAAAACCCAAAACCACTGTTTTAGTTCTCTATTACAGTTACTGTTTTTTCTTAGTTTCCTGTCCATTTTCTATCTTTCTTTATCTTATCTATAATTTCTTTATCTTTCTTCTTCTCTTTTTCTGCAGTTAATTTCTTTCTTAAAAGCTGTTAGTTGGAAAACATGCAGGAATTGTGACAAGTATATTATTCATTTTATTTGTGTTTTCTTCTTTCCCTTCAGAAATTGTCTGTTTGAAAGGTACTTGGGCATTGTACATTTTGTATCTTTTTTTGTAACAGAGAGGATCTAAAATATCTTCAGTATATTTCCTTTTCCTTTTTCCCACCTGAGCTAATGATGGACTTTTATTGTTTGATTTTGTTCATCATAGCAAAATGTCCACAGAATGAAAATATATTAAACTTCATTTTCCAAGTTTACATATTCAGTACTTTTGAGAGATTTTGGAATTGAGTGTTAATGTATTTAGTTAACTTAAAAGACAGAGCATACTTAGAATGAATTTAATTAAGATTATAGATCCTGTCTAAATATACTTGCTATCTGGTTTATGGCATTTTGAAAGTACAGGACATCTAGTGCAATATTCAGCCTGCCCTGAAAACTGGGATTATTAGTGTACCTACCAGCCATAGCTAGCAGAGAGCCAAGTATGGAGTATTTTATGGAGGGAAGGTGCTTCCTGCTCATACAGTTTGTGGCTGAGTTTGAAGTCTTAGTTGCCTCAGCTCAGGTCAATGTGTGGTCCAGCCATTCCTTGCCCATTGGCCATGGCTGCACAGGCATATTCACAGACAACATTATTACATAAATCTTAGTATTTTAGATATTATTTTTATCTCTGAGAAAGGTTTTCACATACTTGGTGTGTTTGCCAGTTAGGAAACTTTTATACAAAACATATCTCAATGTGTCATCAGGTTGCAAGAGGTAAAGTTTTATAAGTCTGAGTTTGAGGCAGTTGCTGTAGTACCATGAGCAGCAAGGTTAACCAGTTTTCATTGAAATGATACAGTATATTGTGTGTCTAGCAAATGAGGTAGGAAAACTATGAGTTACATTCCAGTAATGGCCTGTTGCACAGTGTGAACCTTTTATGGCAGCTTCCCCTCATCATTTTGACCAGCTTGTGCACAAGGAATTCGTTGGGGGAAACAGAAGCAAAAAGATGGAAGGGACTTTTTCCCAGCAGATGTTATGTGTGCTCTTTGAAACAAGATATGTTGCACTTTTTGATGGTGTTCCTATGAAAAGTCTAATTTCTCTAGTTTCACAAAGGGAAGTAGAGTCAATGAAAAAGCTGATGCTACTTTCTGTTTCAAAGAAAAGTCTCGAAGTCTGGGTGTGGAGTGGGGAGAAGTATGTTGATTTCAAAGCCACTAATATATTTTACCTTTATGACATTATTTTCAACACCAAAAATAATACCTGTGTGTTCAAGCAGTTATCAATTCCACAGATTAAAAGAGTCTCAACCTACTAATTTAGTGTCTGGATGTGAAAACTGGTGCACTTGACTTTAATATCTATCCTAATTTATGATGTGGATGTAGCAAAGGGTATTTTTCTTAGGTTCTCATCACAATTCCTTAGGGAATGCTGTATGCGTAGTGATGGGGTACCAAGCAGAGTTCAGTTCAATAGAGAACAATTTCATGTGCTCTGGAGAAAAGTGTCACATTTTTCTTTATCTGTATTTTTAGGTACTGCTGTAGCACTCATTATCCTAGCTTCGGGATTTTTGCTATCAGCTCAGGTCTCGCCAAGAATCACACTTAATCCACCAGATCCTTCACATCAAAACTCTACCTGCACAAAATACAGGTGAGAATTCGTGATCATTCATCCAATCTTCTTGAAGATTGTTTCCAATTAACTGAGTTTTACAACCTAGTGTGAGTAATGGGCAATTATTCACAAAGCCTAGTACAAGGAACTAAACTATACAGCTAAATTTAAAATCACAACTTCCCTCTGTAGAGAAAATTAGACTTTTTGATTAAATTCTCTGACTATTCCTGTGGAATTTCTTGGATGAAATAAGGTGGTTAAGTGGCAAATTCCACATATACCTCTTCTAATATATCACACCTGCTACACGTTACAGTATACACAAATGTCAGGAATATTTTATAAGGAATTTATAAAAATGCTTGCTGTTATTCATCTGCTTGTCATGTATAGCAGCTGTAAACTCTTCAAGAAGATGTGTTCCTTGCCTGTTGTTTTCCTGAGTGGGAAAAAGTAATGTTCAGATAATTGCCTATCAATAAACAATTATAATAAATGTGTGGGGAAGTGGCTGAAGAAATTCTTAATTATGTTCAAAATTTGCATCTTTGTAGTAGAGATAAATATCAAGTAATGAGAGGTACACTTCTAGTTTTGTAGCAATACTGACTAGAAATATGGTTCATGGCTTTTCTTGTGCCAGAGGTCTTAGGGAAAAGATTGTGAGGATCTGAAGATTTACAGAAAACTGGGGAGAGGATGGAAGGTCTTCCTTGAGTGTAAATAGTTACAAATAACAACACCACAGGTTACTATCAGATATAATGATTCCTATATTGAAAATGTATATTTTTACTTCTTTTCCATTGCAAAGTCAGCTATAATTTTGCAATTTTTGAGATGGGCCTGTCTACAAAATGGCGAGTAGTCTGGGTAGAAGCGGTAAAGGGGGAAGATACTCTCCTTTTGGAATCAGATTACATTAAAAGAAAAATGTGAGAAGGATTTGCCTAGTACTTCAGTTAACTGTTTGGAAAGGATGCTTGGAGAGAGGAGATGCACCCTTTGCAGAGCTCATAATTTGATATTTAATAAAGCCAGGTATTAATGGTTAATGTAACCTGAAACCATATAAAATTTACATACAAGAAATATGGCTGGTCCAACTTAAAAAACAATGAAAAGTATTCAGCAGAATTTTCATGTTCACAGCCAGTCAGGAAGGAAATTTCCGTGGCTTTCATGGTGCACACTTCTGGGCAAAAGCAAGAAAAATTAAAGCAGATAGTTCTCATAAAGGCATGCTGTTTCATGAAGTATTGGAATACTTGTTATCTGTTGTGATTTATGTTTCTGATGTGAAGTGGGCAAAAACAGGTAAGATAAAAATTCAAAGATTCTGGAAAAAGAGCAATAAAATAATTTAAATATTTTTCGTTGAGAGTATTTTGAAATAGGAGGAGCTCTCTTTGTTGAAAGATGGAAGTGGATGGAAGAGGAAGTAATGAACAATATATGAGAAATCTTTAGGTGCTTCTAATTTAATCTTATGCTATACTTCAGTAGAGAGACCCATAAGCCAGGAGAGCTGAAAATAAATGGATGCATTTTCCCACAAAACACAGAATTAGGTTACAGCACCCACTACACAGTGGTCCCTTGCTCTTTAACCCATATTTAACCTTTTTAGTAAAACTGCTGGTGTCTCAGATTGTTTAGCATTTTATCTTGCAAGTCTTCAAGAGGTCTCAGAAAGTTTGGGAGAAGCAAAAGGCAGCAGGACTTCAGAAGATGAACACATAATGCCATCTCTCTGTAACTGCCTTTAAGTATGTGCAAAAAATCTAAATCTAAATCTCCTCGGCAGCTGTGATCGTACTTATCATCAGGGCCACAGAAATCTCAAAGGTAGATTTAAGAATACAAAGCAACACCATTCCAAAATTTATCACCTTAGAAGCGAAAAGATGAACTATCCATTCCTATTATTATTATTCTGACTGCCAAAACTCTGTAAATGTTCCCATTTTTACTGGGAACTTGCGTGATTCTGGAAGGAAGTTTAGGTTAGGGCACTTTCATTAGCTATCCTCCCACCTTTTCCCAGTCTTTAAAGAATCAATGATGTGACTGTTTGGAACACTGGGACACTGAAACATTTCTGTAAAATGACTGTGGTCCTGCTGCCTTCTATTCTTGCTCCTTTAGTCTCCATTCGTGTGTCTCTCTGCACTTCTGGAAACTTGGTCTGCTCTAGAAGACATAATGCAAAGCTGTTCTGCCTAAGCAGTATTTTTCATGTCAGTTACTATCTGAAAATGGTAAATATTGTGTTAAGCTTAGGTCAGCCCTCATATCTTAGGGAAATGATACCTGTGCGCACAAAGTTTCTCAGAATCCTTCCTGAACAGATTGTCTTCAGACTGATTAAAATAATACAGGCGGTGCCAGCTGTGCTGGGCACACAAGGATTGTGTTGTTCATTTTTGCATTAGTCACCCTCACGTGGTTCATGATCCTTAGCTCATTGTGCAAATACACACCACCGAGATGAAGGCAACAATATTTAGTACTTGCACATAGCTGTTTAGCAAGATAATGGACAAGTAAGATGGACAGAAATATATCTTTTCTTTATGAGTATAGCAGAAGTATGTAATTGTGATCAGTCCTGAAAAACTCAGCAAATCTAGTGACCAAAGCTAGTTTAATTGTATTTAAAAGCCTTAGGATGCATGTAGTAAGTGTATTAGATATTGTACTTTATTTTATTGAGAACTCATTGACAATCTAATTTATCAGCAAACTAGGTATTGCTATTTTTCATAATGTCACTGTATCACAGAACCAGTATTTGTTAAAATAGATTCTCATTTTCTCTTTCTAATGTCAAAGTTCCTGAGCTACTGGTAATTTCTGATAACTGAGAATTGCAATAATAAATATAGTAATGTGTTTTGGCCATTGAGGTCAGAAAATTATGAATATATAAAGAGATAAACATATCTAAGAATGCTTTTGCCAGCTCTTATGAAGTATAGTTAAAATGCTGATAGTTTATGTTGCAGAACTGTGAAAAGACCTCAACATAGTCTTGAAATTTATTAATAATACAGTGATATATTGCTCAGTAATGATTTTCCCTGTGCTGGCATGTTGGTCCTATCAATCAAAATTTGTAATTTTATTTTAAATTATAAGGGATAGGAAGGAATATGTCCGTCCATGTAGTAAGCATCTTTAAAGTGAATGAGAAAAGACTCCTCTCATCAATTTAAACACAAAGATCTATAAAGTAACTTACCTCAACTATGATGTCCGAGTGCAATGCAGTTCCTGTAACCATTGTTAAATTTTCCACATACTTTGACTCAAACTCTGCATTAATGAGGAAACAATGTGTTATTCATATAGTAGTAACCCATTAACACTTCACATCTCTGCTAGTATTTCTATGACTTTGCTGTTTAACAAAACAGCAAAGGGAATGATTTTTTTAAATTTTCCAAAGTGATGGTGTTACAGTTTATGTGGTCTGCAGGTTTTTGTCACGCAAGAATGCTTTTAATCAAGTTTGAACAGGGCTTCTATCTGATCTGCCTGGAAGCTGGGAATATAGTATCTACATGTAGGGTCTCTTCGGAAAAGTAGTTTTGAAAACAAATTATGCTGGAGAGACAGCCATTCTGTCCAAAATAAAAGCATGTGTAAGTCAGTTATTTCTCTTCTTTGTTGTCTGTGCTGCTCAGTTCCAGGAATAAATCAAGAAGCTCTGTAGTTGGAGGCTCTATAAATTCAGAAAAGAAAGATCATCAAAGACAAGAGGCAACTGATACCTATAACTAGATCAGGACACTTTCTCATGTGATGTCAGAATTTCAGCACAATCCCATAGCAGTAGTGGGATAGCCTTGATGATCTAAGGATCCTCACCATGTCTAAAGCAGAAGTAGCAAACACCAAGAGACTGAAAACAATTTCTATGAGGTTGTCTACATTATGTTGCATAGCTGAGGAATGGGAGCCTTTGAGAAGGTTTATGGAATGTTTTAAGAAAGCTAATGTATTTATATGTGGGTGGCATATCAGGAAGGGTTAAGATTTAGGGCTGGTCTGGAACTTTAGGGAGGACACCGAAGAATCATCTACGTGGAATAGACGGAGGAGGAGGCCTGATTTGAAGATGAGAAGGGGTTGTAGAAATGTAATATAGATAAGAAAAATAAATATCCTAGGTTTGAATGCAAAACCCATCGCTCATGCTTGCCAATCCCAATCCTGAGGAAAAGAGCTAGAAACTTTTACAGTTATACTTGAACATAACTGTGATCTAGAGCTGGTAGGAGTATCTGTGTGGTATAATTACAGAACTGCAATTAGCATCCAAGCACTGGGATTATAAATTATAGCTTTTCCTTATGGACACCACTAAATGTGTTACCTAACAGAGGGTTGGTAGAACTCAGCAAATAAACTTCTGTCACTTGGTCTATTATAGTAGCAGGAAAGCGCTCTTGAAGTCCAAGTGGATTTTTCTCATTCTTTGTAAATTATTGTGTTTCCTATGTCCCAGGTACAACAGCTGGAAGTGTTATCTGCCGTTAGCACATGTTTTAACTGCTTAAAGCATCCCCTATATTCTTATCCATTTATATGTAACCTGAACTTAGTGTTTCACTTCTAGAAGCAAGACAGGAACCATCAGAAGTATAAAGAATGGTTTGATTTCATGCCTGAGGTGCAGTGAAGCCTGTGCAAACAGCACAAGCCCTCAGGCACAAGCATCAGGCTGTTTTAAACATGGTCCTGCTACCAAACTGAGGTCAGTTTGTGTATGAAAATTAAGTAAGCTATTTGTCAAAAAAATCCTAAGATCCTTATTTGTATAACTGGCTGAAAGTATCAATATCCTAACATGTCAACAGAGCTAATAAGTACTCTTAATAATAAGAGTTAATTAATAAGTACAAATACTGCAGTATTTGTCCAAAAGTCCTTGGTTTGATTTTTTTTGTTGTTGAATTCAACACCTTGGCTCTTTGGACTCATCAGTTGCCCATGTCCCTTGGTGAGTCCAGCTGAGTGGGCCTGGC